CACTCGAAGACACCTGAGTGCAGGCTGGGTGCAGTGGCTCGAGAGAGTAACCCCAGCACTCTGGGGGGCCGAGGCGGACAAATCACTCGAGGCCAGGAGTTTGAGACCAGCCCGGGCAACAAGATGAAACCTGGTCTCTACAAAATACACACACACAAACTTTTCTGGTGTGTGGTGGCGCAAATCTGTCGCCCCAGCTACTCAGGAGACTGCAGCACGAGAATCACCTGAGCCTGGGAACAGAGGCTGCAGTGAGCCAAGATCGCACCAGGGCACTCCAGCCTGGGCGACAGAGCAAGACTCTGTCTAAAAAATAAATAGATAAATAAATAAATAAAATTTAAATTTAAAAAATAGATTAAATTTAAAAAAGATATATAAATAACATTTAAATTTTAAAACCTGTGTTATTGCAGGGGTTCCCAACCCCCATACCACAGACCACTACTGGTCCACAGCCTGTTAGGAACTGGCCGCACAGCAGGAGGCGAGCAGCTGAGCGGCGGGAGAGCGGGAGGTGAGCGGCGGGCGAGCCAGCGTCACTGCCTGACCTCCACCTCCTGTCAGATCAGTGGTGGCATCAGATCCTCACAGGAGTGCAAATCCCACTGTGAACTGCACACGCCAGGGCTGCAGGCTGCACACTCCTTATGAGAATCTAATGCCTGATGATCTGAAGAGGAAGTTTCCTCCTGAACCACGCCCCTTACCCCATCATCCGTGGAAAACCTGTCTTCCACGAAACCAGCCCCTGGTGCCAAACAAGGATGGGGACCACTGTCTCATTGAATCTACCTTATGGATTCATTCACGCTGATTTCACGGCCAGCAGTACCAGAGCTCACGCCTGAGTGGAGTTTCTCGAATTTTCTCTGAAAGGCACATCATAGCGTTCTTCCACTTAGGAACACCAGACAGAACGTCGGCACCACATTTAGGCGTCACGTTAAACCGTAAATTCGCCCACAGAAAGCACAACGATGTGGAAAACGGCATTAAGCACACGGCAGGAAAGGCTCTTGCTCGCAGTAAAAGGGCTGAGAGACGAGACAGAGCAGCACCTCGTCCCACCTCGGCTGGAAATGCACTCAGGTAACTCACCTTCGCCGCCACGCTACACACATCTGCCGGCACCTGACCATAAAGGTGACGCAAGTTTTGATTTGAGGTTTCAAATACATTTTAGCAAGCAGGCAACTGCCTAGTACAGAATCCACAAATAATGAGGACTGAGCGCACGTGATACACAAACACGAGAGAGAACACTTCACGGCCAGGCAGCGCGTTTATTCCATCGCGCAGTTAATTTAACGTTTGAAAATCAATGTATGGGACAGGCACGGTGGCTCACGCCTGTAATCCCAGCGCTTTGGGAGGCCGAGGCGGGTGCGTCACCTGAGGTTGGGAGCTTGAGACCAGCTTGGCTAACATGGTGAAACCCCATCTCTGCTAAAAATACAAAAATTAGCCAGGCGTGGTGGCACACACCTGTAATTCCAGTTACTTGGGAGGCTGAGGCAGGAGAACTGCTTGAGCCCAGGAGGCAGAGGTTGCAGTGAGCTGAGATTACACCACTGCACTCTAGCCTGGGCAACAGAGCAAGACTCCACCTCAAAAAAAAAAAAAAAAAGATTAACACTTGTCGGTTGCCAAAAAAATAAGTTTTAATCTTAAAACTTACACAGATATGTGGCCGGGCGCAGTGGCTCATGCCTGTAATCCCAGCACTTTGGGAGGCTGAGGAAGGAGGATCACCTGAGGTCAGGAGTTCGAGACCAGCCTGACCAACATGGAGAAACCCCGTCTCTACTAAAAATACAAAATTAGACAAGTGTGGTGGTGCATGCCTGTAATCCCAGCTACTCAGGAGACTGAGGCAGGAGAATCGCTTAAACCTGGGAGACGGAGGTTGCAGTGGGCTCAGATCGCACCATTGCATTCCAGCTGGGGCAACAAGAGCGAAACTCCGCCTCAAAAAAAATAAATAAATAAGTAACTGATATAGATATGCAATGAAAACTTACAAAGTTGGAAGACCTGCACCACCTCGGACTTCCCTGTAAACCTGTAAAAACTGAGACGATGGCGACGACTCGGGGTGAGAAAAGAAACACCTTACAGGCACCTCATTTATCACAAACGCATCGCTGCAACTCAGTGGGGGAGAGAATGGGCTTTTGTTGTTTTTATTTTTGAGAAGGAGTCTTGCTCTGTTGCTCAAGCTGGAGTTCAGTGGTGTGATCTCAGTTCACTGCAACCTCTGCCTCCCAGGTTCAAGCGATTCTCCTGCCTCAGCTTCCCAAGTAGCTGGGATTACAGGTGTGCATCACCACTCCCGGCTAATTTTTGTATTTTTAGTAGAGACAAGGTTTTGCCATGTTGGCCAGGCTGGTTTCAAACTCATGACCTCGGGTGATCCACACGCCTCAGCCTCCGAAAGTGCTGGGATTACAGGCGTGAGCCCCCGTGCCCAGCCATGGTCTTTTCAATATACGGTGCTAGAGCAACCGCACAGCCACATGGAAAAAAATACCTAATCCTAACCCATACTTCACACCACCTCACGCCGTAGATGGTGCTGGAGCAACCGCACAGCCATGTGGAAAAAAATACCTAACCCTAACCCATACTTCACACCACCTCACGCCGCACGCCAAAATTTACTTACTTTTTATTTTTTTGAGACAGTCTCGCTCTGTGGCCCAGGCTGGAGTGCAGTGGTGCAATCTCAGTTCACTGCAACCACTGCCTTGCGGTTCAAGAAATTCTCCTAACTCAGTGTCCCAATGGGATTACAGGTGCCCTCCACTACGCCCAGCTAATTTTTGTATTTTCAGTAGAGACAGGGTTTCACCATGTTGGCCAGGCTGGTCTCAATCTCCTGACCTCAAGTGATCTTCCCGCCTTGGCCCCCCGAAGTGCTGGAATTACATGTGTGAGCCACCCGCCCGGCCACCATGCACCAAAATTTAAACTAAGTTGGATTACAGCTTTAAATGTGAAAGGAAAAACAATAAATCTTCTAGAAGGAAGCATGGAAGAATATCGTCGAGAGCCTGAGGGTAAGCAAACACTCCTCAAATAGAACACAAACACATTATTACTCAAATAAAGATTGGTAAGTTGGACTATATTAAAATTAAAGACATCACTGAGAGTCAATGGGCAAGCCCCAAGCCTGAGGACACAGGAGCAGAGCCCACCAAGACTGGTCTCCAGAACATGTGAACGACTACAAACCCGACAGAGAAAGACACCAAAATGGGGGAAAGCTTTGAGCATGCAGAGAGAACATTCAAACGGCCAGGACACTGGTGGGAAATGCCAATCAAAGCCACAACGGAACAAGAGTCCATATCCGCCAGGAGGGTAAAACTCAGGCAAATTCACCCTCGGCGGCAAACACCGAGAATGTGGAGCAACCCCCACAAATCACCAGTGAGAAACTGTGATGTGGCCCTAAGCAGACATTCCACCACGCAACTCCCCGCTGTCCATCAACCACCCGACCCCCACAAAATGCCAGTGAGAAACTCCAAGCGTGGCTAAGCAGACAGACATTCCACCACGCAACTCCCCACTGTCCATCAACCACCCAGCCCCACAAATCACCGGTGAGAAACTCAAGCGTGGCCCTAAGCAAGACATTCCACCACGCAACTCCCGCTGTCCATCTCACCGGCCCCCACAAATACCAGTGAGAAACTCAAGCGTGGCCCTAAGCAGACATTCCACCACGCCAACTCCGCTGTCCATCAAGTACCGAGTGCTGTGTCACTAACAACGCACACGGGCGTTCACAGCCACAACTGAATCCGCGGCGACCACACTGTCCATCAAGTACCGAGTGCCTATGTCCACTAACAACGCACACGAGGGCGTTCACAGCCCACAACTGAATCAACGGCGACCACAGCCCACGGCAGAAAGCGTGGGTAAATGTGGTATCCAAACCAAGGACCAGGATGCCACACACAAGACACACACAACCAGGGCATCCAAATCAAGGACCACAGGGCAATACACAAGACACACACAATCACGCAGACGACTCGAACGACAGAGGCGTTATACCGGGGGGAGGGGCCAGCTGGCATCCCATGGGAAGAAGTTCTGGCTGCTCCGGACAGGGCACCCTCATGGGGGGGTGAGTCAGAGTGGGGAAAGGGTCCTGATGACAGACTCCAAGGCCAGGGACTCTGGGTGAGGGTCCCATGTGTCCCCTCTGACCCTGCCTTCTGGATGTCCCAGCGGCTTGGCTGCGCCTTCCTGGCTCCATCCTCTTCTCACACAGGCACCTCCCACCAGCCCCAGGAGAATGGCTTCTCTTCACGGAGGGTCCCTCTCTCCCTGGACTCGGCACTCCTGCTGCACCTGCCTATCCCTTCCCACCGCCAGTTTCAACCACTGAATCACCCTGGAGAAGGTTCCTGAGCTAGGAGCACTGGCCCAGGGCCTGCGAGGGCTCCAGGGCAAGACACACGAGACCCAAGTCAATGGGCACGTGACTCCATGCCTTGAGGGGGCAAGAGAGGCTCGGTTCTGAACTCTAGCGGGAAAGAGACAAAGATCAAGTCCAGGAAGGGGAGTGCCCTGAAGAGGAGCGGAGGAGGCAGGGGCGCACCGCAACACCCAGCAGGTCTCTCTGGAGAACTGTCTAACCCGGCACAGAGCCAGCAAACGCCGCAGCCCGGCCGGGGGGAGACGGCTGGAGTCAAGGGTGGGGCAGGGCTGGGTCAGGGGCAGGATGGGCTGCTGAGGGTCTGGCTGTGCAGGGTGACGGAAGCAGACTCTGAGGGAGGGACCGAGCTGGGCAGGGGCAGGCAGCGACAGGACCACTGCAGCCAGGAGAGCCTCCCACCTCCTCCAGCCACAGGCTCAGCTGCCCCAGTGAGCGACGCAGGGCGGGGACCTGACAAGACTGTTCGAGGATCCGACGTCCACCCAGGCCACTCCCCGGCAGAGGTGGGTTTCGCCTCCTCTCCCCAGGCCCTACTTACTCTTCTCACAGTGCCGGTTCAAGTGCAGGTTGCTGAGGTCAGCTTGGAACTGAGGTCCCACCATGATCTCCTGCAAAGCAAGGGCCTGGGCATCAGGACACTGAGGAGCATGCAAGCCGGGCGGGAGGCTGGCTGCAGCGTGCTGTGGCGGGCTCAGGTGGAGGGGCCGCTGCCCAGACCCCAGACCCAGCTGTGCAGTCTGCCTGCTGATGCCCAGTTCTGGGGTCTGAGGGTGGGAGGCAGAGGCCTGGGTATGTGAGGGGGCTGCGTCCCGATGCCCGGCCTGGCAGAGACCCAGACAGGATGTTGGAGGACACACACTCTGGGTCAGCAGCAGGGACCCAGGCTCCAGTCCAAAGCACCTGTAGCCGGTCCCAGCCCACCCTGGGGTTGAGCAGCACGTCCTCCGAGAGGAGGCACAAACCCAGGGAGAGGGCTCAGCAGGACCCAGCTTCGGTTACTGTGGCCGGGACGGCAGGCTGGGGAGACGGCAGAGCCACGGCCGGGATGCCAGGCTGGGGAGACAGCAGAGCCACGGCCGGGATGCCAGGTTGGAGACAGAGCAGAGCCACGGCCGGGATGCCAGGCTGGAGACAGGGCAGAGCCACGGCCGGGATGCCAGGCTGGGGACACCACAGAGCCACGGCCGGGATGCCAGGTTGGAGACAGGGCAGAGCCACAGCCGGGATGCCAGGCTGGGGACAGGGCAGAGCCACGCACCTTCTTACATTTGTTGGCAGGAAGAGAGTCCTCCTCGGTGTCGGAGGAGGCAGAAGAGCCCGGCTCTTTGTCTTCATCAGCCAGGAAATGAGCTTTGGGAAAACAGAGGCAGGTCCCCCAGGGTCCGGCAGCCCGTACAACCCCTCCTCTGGGCAAAGACCCTCCACTCCCACACTCCATCCACCTGATCCCCAGGCCGTGACCCTCTCCCTGGCCAGACGCTAGATACACAGATGGGCCCAGGACCCACGACCCAGGATGCACCTTCCCTTCCAGGCGGCGGCTGCACCGCTGGGCCCCGAGCCCTCAGTTCCCACGACAGCCAGCACAGAGGCTTGTGAGGGAGGACGGTTCTGGGGATGCTGTCCCTGGATCTGCTAGGGGAACCGACATGTTCCCTGCTTGTTTAAACCGAATTGCTCTCAGAGTCCAGGCTCACTGGCCAGCGTAGGGGAGAACAAAGCACCCCCAGGGCTACTGACACTTCCCACCAGGCAGATGCCCTCATCTGTGATGAGTTCTTGGCCTGTGTCAGCCCAAGGACCCTTCATCAAGCATCACGACTGCCTGGCAGCAGGCCTGGCTGCGGCAGAGGATGGGGACAGAGTCACCTACATCCACTCCGGTTAGGGAAGAGGTCGGAGGCCTCGTGGGAGGTCACGGACGGGGTGAGGTCGTCAGCAGATGACTGTGTCTCTTCCTCTTCTTCCCCTGAAAGCAAATCCTTTGCTATTTGTTCCTTTAAAAAAAAAAAAAAAAAAGTAAAGAACATTTTACAGTTTAACAATCTTGCAATATCACTAATGATAACAACAATAAAGACACTGGGAGTGCCCTGAGGCTCACGTGGGGCCGCTATTCCCATTCTGCAGATAAGGAAACGGAGGTGGAGACGCCACCGAGGGTGCACAGCATCGGGGGAGCAGGGATGAGACGGGGACACGTGGGAGCCCACACCCCGTCACCAGAGCTGGAGACAGTGAGAGCTGCCACGGGGCACGCGCCCGGACTGCGTGGCTCTTTCCCTGCCTGTGCATTTGGTTTTAACCTTCTGCAATGCAGTCCTCCCCTGCTCCCAACACCTAACCCTCAACCTGTGACCTCTGGGTATGGAATGGCAGAAAGACTAGTCCTGGGGAGGCCCCGATGTGTCCCTCCACCCACCCAAGCCAGAATGACTTGTGGCCCGGGGTTAAGGCTAGGGTCCAACCCCATGCCCATGGCCATTCCAACCCCGGGGGAGTGGTCACAGGTAGCTACATTCTACTTGTTCTGGGGGCCTTTGTGCCTCTTCTCACTGAACACCCCCTTGCAGAGAGGCAGCCCCAGGTCCCCCACCTTCTGCTGGGGGCCAGTTCCAGGAAGGACGCTCACTCACCTTGTCCAGGGTCATGTCCGGGAGGTCAGGGGCCACGTCACCACCCTCACTCTCCCGGTCTGAAATGGGGTCTGATGCCTCGTAGCCATAGAGTGCAAGCAGCTCATCGAAGGGCATGTCGTTGCTCTGAGTTGGGGAAGGGAACAGGGCCCCATCAGGAGGGACTGCTCTGGGCGTTCTTGTCCCCGTCCTCTTGCCTGAGCCTCGTTGGCCACAACTAGGGCCACTGTGTCACACCCACAGCAACTCCCCGCATGGCAGCACTCTCCAGCCAGACCTCAGGCCCCGTCTTTCATCCAAGAGCTCCCTCACAATCCCTCAGAGTGGCACCAGAGCCTAGGGGTCACCGGCCAGGGAAGAGGGCAAAACCCACAAAGCCTCCTTGCACAGGGTGAATTACAGGAATACAAGGATGGTGCGACACAGGGTGAATTACAAGAATACAAGGATGGTGTGACATCTGGCAATTTACTATTGTAACTCCACATCAATATATCAAAGGTGAAAAAAGGTATCTGAAAGAGGCATTTGGTAAAATCCGACATCTATTCCTGATTTAAAAAAAAAAAAAAAAAAAAAGAACCCTCAGAAAACTACATAAATAAGCCAGAAACAGTGGCTCACACCTGTAATCCCAGTATTTTGGGACACCAAGGCAGGTGGATCACTTAAGGCCAGGAGTTTGAGACCAGCCTGGGCAACATGGCAAAACCGTCTCTACTAAAAATACAAAAATTAGCTGTGCTTGGTGGCACCCGCCTGTAGTCTCAGCTACTTGGGAGGCTGAAGCATGAGAATCACTTGTACTTGGGAGGTGGAGGGTGTAGTGAGCCAAGATCACACCACTGCACTCCAGCCTGGGTAGCAAAGTGAGAATCTGTCTCAAAATAAAAAATAAAAAAGAAGAAACACTGTTGTGATGCTCTAAGCCAACGCAACACGACAAGTAGCAGCAATAAGGTGTGTAATTCCTGGGAAGGAAGAGATACGAATTATCATTCTCTCCACCTTTGCTTTCAAATCTTTCTGTCCTCCCTTGTGTGAGCCTCTACTCCACAGAGGCTAGTCCTGCCGGCTCAGACTCTACCTTGACCCCTGTGGGTCACACTTTCAGCTTCCAACTTCCTGCTCATTCTCTCAAGACGTCAGCACTGGCCTCCCCTCCACCCCAGCTCCTGCCCAGACTCATCCTGGGGGCTTCAAGTTCACACAGAAATCTCCCAGCCTAGCTGGGCGCGGTGGCTCACACCTGTAATCCCAGCACTTTGGGAGACCAAGGCAGACAGATCACAAGCTGAGGAGATTGAGACAATCCTGACTAACACAGTGAAACCCCATCTCTACTAAAAATACAAAAAATTAGCCAGGCGTGGTGGCGGCACCTGTAGTCCCAGTAACTCAGAATGGTGTGAACCCGGGAGGTGGAGCTTGCAGTAAGCCGAGATCGTGCCACTGCACTCCAGCCTGGGCGACAGAGTGAGACCCCATCTCAAAAAAAAAAAGAAAAAAGAAAAAGAAACTTCCCAGCCTAGTCCCAGCCCTTCCCCAGGTGGAACATCTGTACTGAGTCCCCCTTTTGTTCTCACAGGACCCCGTGGACAGAACAGATTCTGTATGCCCATTACCTTCAGGATTATGCAGGCGGGAAGGCTGACACAGTGGTCCAGAGGCCCTTGGGTTGCCTGGACCTCTCCAGAGTAGCCCGAGGTGAAGCCCCTTTCCTAAGAACACTCAGCCGTGATTTCTGTTTTTGGCTTCATTGATGCCTGCACTGATGGTGCAGCATCGGCAGCCGGGAAGAGCCCAGGGCTCTGTGGAAGCCACGGCCGGTGCACCCCTGCTGTCACTGCTGTCACATTCCTCACAGACCAAAAGCAAACACCCCAGCTTCACTTCAGAAGATGCTGGATGCTGGATGGACAGCCGGGCGCGGTGGCTCAAGCCTGTAATCCCAGCACTTTGTGAGGCCGAGGCAGGTGGATCACAAGATCAGGAGTTCGAGACCAGCCTGGCCAACATGGAGAAACCCTGTCTCTACCAAAAATACAAAAATTAGCCAGGCGCGGTGGTGGGTTCCCGTAATCCCAGCTACTCGGGAGGCTGAGGGAGAAGAATCACTTGAACCTTGGAAGCAGAGTTTGCAGTGAGCCGAGATCGCGCCACTGCACTCCAGCCTGGGTGACGAGAGCAAGACTCCATCTCAAAAAACAATAAAAGAAGGTGCTGGACAAAATGAGCATTTTGTTAAGTCTCATCCTGCGCAGATGTTTCCATGTGCTGTGAGGGCGTGGGAAGCATGCAGCATGCACCTGCTGCATACCAAAGCGAGGTGGTTTCTTCAAGGAACCACATGCATGGAATGAGTGGTGAGGCGAAGAGGCTGTTCCTGGTCATTTCACCTCAAAGAATGCTGGCCAACTACAGTTGCTTAGACAGGCACCTGGCAGGCACTGCCTTGTATGCAAGCCAGGGGGCTGTTACTTCAAAGGAAACAGCTGACCGTAACTGCCGCAGGTAAAACTCAAGATTTTGAAAAACTTAGGTTTGACAACATGAACTTGCCAACTTTCCAATATTTAAAAAACTTTTGATAAGGCTGGTGGTGGTATTAACTATTACAGTCAACCTTAACCCCCAACATGACTATATTTTGAGATAGGGCCTTTACAGAGATAATCAAGGTTTGACGAGGCCATGAGGGTGGGGCCCTGATCCAACAGGATTAGTGTCCTTTTAACAAAAACACCAGAGGGCTCCCTCCCTCTTGTTCTCTGTCCACCCTACGAGGACACAGCGAGCCAGCAAGAGCCAGCACCAGAACCCACTCAGTTGGACCCTGGTCATGGACTTTTCTGCCTCTTGAACGAGGTTCACTGATACGGTCTCAGATTCCACAACTACTCTCTACAAAACTCCCACTTGATGAGTTTGGCTGTAGCATCAAGGAAGAATACCCACAATTATCTGAAAAGCTATTAAATACTCTTACCTAACAGCCTTACAGATCTGAGGCTATACTTGTACTTCAACCATAAGAGCCTATCACAAGAGATTAATGTCTCCCTTAAAAAACAGAAACTGGCCGGACATGGCTCCTCCCTGTAATCCAAGCATTTTGGGAGGCTGAGGTGGCAGGATCACTTTGAGGTCAGGAGTTCGAGACCAGCCTGGCCAACATGGTAAAACCTCATCTCTACTAAAACTACAAGTTAGCCAGGCATGGTGGTGGGTGCCTGTAGTCCCAGCTACTCGGGAGGCTAAGGCAGGAGAAACACTTGAACCCAGGAGGCAGAGGTTGCAGTGAGCCGAGATGGCGCCACTGCACTCCAGTCTGGGCAACAGAGCAAGACTCTGTCTCAAATAAAAGAAAAAGACAGAAACTGGGTCAGGTACAGTGGCTCACACCTACAGGCAGAAAAACTGCTTGAGGCCAAGAGTTCAAGACCAGCCCTAGCAACATAGCAAGAACTCTACAAAAAATAAAAAATAAAAAAATTGGTGAGGTATGGTGGCGTGCGACTACAGTCCCAGCTACTCAGGAGGCTGAGGCAGGAGGATCCCTTGAGCCCAGGAGTTCCAGGCTGCTGTAAACTATGATTGCACCACTGCACTCCAACCTAGGCAACAGAGTGAGATCCTATCTCAAAAAAAATAAGTTTTTTAAACACAGAAGCTTGGCCAGGCGCGGTGGTTCACGTCTGTAATTCAGCACTTTGGGAGGCCGAGGTGGGCGGATCACGAGGTCAAGAGTTTGGGACCAGCCTGGCCAACATGGTGAAACCCCGTCTCTACTAAAAATACAAAAATTTGCCGAGCGTGGTGGCGTACACCTGTGGTCCCAGCCACTCGGGAGGCTGAGGCAGGAGAATCGCTTGAGCCCAGGAGGCAGAGGATGCAGTGAGCCGAGATCACACCAACTGCACTCCAGCCTGGGAAACAGAGCGAGACTCCAACTCATAAAAAAAGGACAGAAGTTGGATTTTGACATTGGCTTCTCCGTTCAAAGACATGTGGAAAACTAAAAATTAATTCTTCTCACTAATTTTTTTCTTTTGGTACAGAATTTTTTTTCATTTTCATAAAAATATTTATATTAACATGTAACATTTATTCATGTCATTTTAAAATGAGTTACTGAATAAGTATTTTTACATGTCAATTTTTTTTTTTGAGACAGAGTCTTGCTCTGTCCCCCAGGCTGGAAGTGCAATGGCCCGATCTCGGCTCAATGCCACCTACGCCTCCCGGGTTCAAGTGATTCTCCTGCCTCAGCCCCTCGACTGGCTGGGACTACAGGCACCCGCCACCACGGCCACCTAATTTTTGTATTTTTAGTAGAGACGGGGTTTTACCACGTTGGTCAGGCTGGTCTTGTACTCCTGACCTCAGGTGATCCACCCGCCTCGGCCTCCCAAAGTGCTGGGATTACAGGCGTGAGCCACTGCACCTGGCCTGTTATTTATTTATTTTTTGGGGGACAAGGTCTTGCTATGTTGCCCAGGCTGGCCTCAAACTCCTAGGCTCAAGATATCCACCCAAAGTGCTGGGATTACAGGTGTGAGATACCACGCCCGAAAATTTTTGTATTTTTAGTAGAGACAGGGTTTCACTATGTTGGCCAGGCTAGGCTCAAACGCCTGACCTGGTGATTTGCCCACCTCGGCCTCCCAAAGTGTTGGGATTACAGGCGTGAGCCACCACGTCCAGCCAATTTATGTCAGTTTTAACTGTTCATATAATAAAAAAGCAATAGATAAAGCACATTAACAAAGCCCCTCGAAGCTCTCAATTTTTTTTTTTTTTTTTTGAGACAGAATCTCACTCTGTCGCCCAGGCTGGAGTGCAATGGCGTGATCTCAGCTCAATGCAACCTCCGCCTCCCGGGTTCAAGTGATTCTCCTGCCTCAGCCTCCCGAGTATCCACGACTACAGACGTGCACCACCACGCCTGGCTAAGTTTGTATTCTTTTTTTTTTTTTGAGACGGAGCCTTGCTGTGTCGCCCAGGCTGGAGTGCAGTGGTGCGATCTCAGCTCACTGCAAGCTCTGCCTCCTGGGGTTCACGTCATTCTCCTGCCTCAGCCTCCCGAGTAGCTGGGAATACAGGTACCCACCACCACGCCTGGCTAATTTTGTTTTCGTATTTTTAGTACAGATGGGGTTTCACCATGTTAGCCAGGATGGTCTCGATCTCCTGACCTCGTGATCTGCCCACCTTGGCCTCCCAAAGTGCTGGGATTACAGGCGTGAGCCACCGCGCCCAGCCCGAAACTCTCAATAATTTTTAAGAGTACAAAGTGGGTTCTGAGACCAGAAGATTTGAGAGCAGTTGGCTTAATCCCTGACCACTGTACTGCTCAGACAGCCCCATGAAAGACCTGCCCTCCACTGAATTTCAGCTCCTAGAACAGCGTCTGGCACTTTGCAAAAAGATGTACAATTTGGCACTTACCAATGTGGAATCTGAGCTGCACAGAAACTGTGAGGCTTACCCCGGAGGGCTCCACCCAACACAGGGGCGGGATCACCTCGGCCAAGTACCTGGGAGATGAAGTCCTTCTCCAGCTCCTCCTTGGGCTTCTCTGGGCACCTCGAGGCCTCCTCACACTCTCCCCGAACACTGTAGTTCTGTGACAGGATCTCTGCGAGGTTGAACTGATGGTCTCCAGAGCCCATGGACACCACTGGGGAGAAGACAGCAGCCCACGTGAGCACCTTGCCTCACCCGTCCCAACCATCCTGCCGAGACTACGGACGCCTGGGGTAGGAGGGGCCCGAGGGATGAGGCCCTCTGCACACTGCCAGGATCAGCCTCCCATGAGGAGACCCAACAGGACACCCCACGACGGATGCACACAGGAGCACGGCTGGTGACCTGCACACAGATTCCAAGGATTTTTTTGGGGGGCGGGGGTGTCTCTTTCTGAGACTGCTTGTCTTCCTGAACAGAGAGGCCTGCGAGGGTTTGGGGAGCAAGTGGACTAGACAGAGACTGACATCCGTCTCATTAGGGTGGATGGAGCAGCAGGACTCAGTGAGCTGGGTTCACACCGGGCCCCACGACTCCTCAAACGGGGGACGCTGAACCCTCACCTGCATAGCTCAGTACAGCATCAAGGAGCATGCAGGGACAGCACCAACGGGGCCTCGACAACGCCAGTCCCTGATGCTCCGTCTGCAGGGCCACATACAGCAGACATGCGAGGTACACGGCCCAACAGACAGCCGCTGTCATCAGATCCAGGGTTTCCCCAAAAGAACAGGGGTGCGTCACCATTCCTCAGCATGTTTAGTCTCCAATTAGGCAAATTTTTAAGCAAACAAAGGAAAATAGCTGGGGCTCAATCAATCCAGACAGGGTGCAGTGTAGCCCAAGGCTGGGAGGCTGAGGGCCTGGGAGCCCAGAGGCAGGAGGCCTCTAGGGCAGCCACACAGCCTGCATGGCTGGGCACACAGGTGTGCCCCACACACAGCCCATGCACAGAACACGCAGCTGCAGGGCACCGAAGACCCTGGGCGGCAGGCACCTCGCTGGAGTGAGGGAATGACCTGGAGCTGCCTGGGTGCGCCCGGACCCTCAGTGACCACCGCATCCTTGCAGGAGCCATGTGAGGGAAAACGGGGGCGGCGCTGCCTTCTTCGAGGACTGGGGTGGGGACCAGTTTGATACCGGAAAGAGATGCAGCCCTACATCTGGCCCGCAGAAGAAGCCCAGCCAGGGGAAGAAAGAACAGTCACAGAGACCCTTGCCCTACAGCGTCACCTCCTCCCCGTGGGCCCAACACAGGTGGCCAGGAGGCGGGCACGGGACCTTGATGCCCACCAGGCAAGCAGCAGCGCAGGAAGGTGCAAGGAACCCAGGGTGCTGCCTGTCTCGCCGCCCTCCACCTTCTCAGCCCCAGCTCCCTCAGCAAGCCGCCCCTTCCCGACACCCTGGCAAGATGAAGCAGCCTCAGCTTGGTGCAGGTGTGCGCCTGGGACCTCCGCTGGCAGTGCTGCCTGGGCTCCCTGCCCCTGCTAAAGAACAGGAAGACGGAGTCCTGACCACTCTGCCCCACAGCTCCATCTGAACGGGTGGGAGCTGGGACACTCTGGACTCTGGAAGCCAGTGTGCTGGTCCACAGCTCAGCCAGACCCAGCAGGTATTCTGTCTCTCACAGCCACAAAGGCCTCGGCGGACCTGAGCAAGGGGAGGAGGAAGGAAGGTACCTGCTGTTGTCTGCAAGCCAGGCTCCCCAGGGCACAGGCTGTGCTCGAGGCAGGAGACCACGCGAGGACTCTGCCTCCCCAGCGAGGAGGCCTGCGAAGGAAGAGAGGCAGGGTTAGCTCAGCCGGCCCAAAACCTGCTGCAGGACATCACAGTGTGGCAGCCAAGAGCAAGCGCTGGTCAGAGCCCAGTCCCTGGTGACCCAGGGAAGCGGCTTTGTCTCCGCCTCTGAGGGCTGGAGGGCACTAAGGGCAGCACACGTGTGTGGCCGCCACTCGTCCCGCCTCCCACCAAGGACCACGCATGGGGTGGAGGCGTTCTCGCCCAGGGCAGGACTTGCATCATGTGACACTGAAAACTGCCCTCACACAGGCCACGGTCCTGACCCATGTGGCAACCTGGACGCAGCTCAAGAACAGCATGCGCTGGGAGGGAAGCCAGACACCAACGGCCACGGCGGAGGGTCCACTGATACAAAACATCCAGAACAGGCCAATCCACGGACAGAAAGGAGCCAGGGAGAGAGCCAGTGGGAGCGTGACTGCTAACGGGGATGGGGCTTCTTCCGGGGATGACGGAATGTTTCAGAATTAGATAGAGGGGATGGTTGCAGGGCCACGAATACACTAAAAATCAATGAATTATAAACTTTAAAATGGGTATATTTTATAGTTTATAGTTAAATCACCTAAATTATTTTTATAAAAAGGCAAACGAAACCATTATGTTACCATTATCACAACGTTCAATATCTTTCTTTTTTTTTTCTTTGAGACACAGCCTTGCTCTGTCACCCAGGCTGGAATGCAGTGGCGCCATCGCAGCTCACTGCAACCTCCGCCTCCCGGGTTCAAGTGATTCTCCTGTCTCAGCCTCCCGAGTAGCTGGGACTACAGGTGCCCGCCACCACACCCAGCTAGTTTCTGTATTTTTACTAGAGACAGGGTTTCACCACGTTGCCCAGGCTGGTCTCAAACTCCTGACCTCGTGATCCACCCGCTTCGGCCTCCCAAAGTGCTGAGATGACAGGTGTGAGCCACCACAAGAAGTCATGATATCTCTCATGTACATAAACACAAAAACCCTCAACAACATACTAGCAAACTGAACCCTACAACATCTAAAGAAGATTGTAAGCCATGACCAAGTAAGATTCATCTCAGGGAGGCGAGGTCGATTTAACATCCAAAAGTCAGTTAATTAATACATCACGTCAATAAAATAAAAACCAAAGCACAGGATCATCTGAACATACCCAATCCAACAAAACCCAATACACTTCATAATGAAAAATACCCAACAACTCAGAACAGAAGGGAGCTTCTCAACCTGACAAAGGGCGTCTCGGACAAACCCACACTGATCATCGCCCTCAACGGTCACAGGCTGCTTTCTCTTTCACACCATGAGCGTAACGTGTACTCTCACCTCTCGTGCTAAACGGAGTGCCGGAGCGGGTAGTCAGCGTAAGAACATCAAATAAAAAGAATCAAGATTGGTAAGGAAGCCAGGCGCGCTGGCTCACGCCTGTAATCCCAGCACTTTGGGAGGCCCAGGCAGGCAGATCACTTGAGGTCAGGAGTTCAAGAACAGCCTGGCCAACATGGTGAAACCCTGTCTCTACTAAAAACACAAAAAAATTAGCCAGACATTGTGGCATGTGCCTCTAATCCCAGCTACTCAGGAGGCTGAGGCAGGAGAATTGCTTGAACCAGGGAGGCAGAGGTTGCAGTGAGCCAAGATGATGCCACTGTACTCCAGCCTGGGCAACAGAGCAAGACTCCATCTCAAAAAAAGAAAAAAAAAGGCGGGGCGAGGTGGCTCATGCCTGTAATCCCAGCACTTTGGGATGCCGAGGCGGGCAGATCATGAGGTCAACAGATGGAGAGCATCCCAGCCAACAAGGTGAAACCCTGTCTCTACTAAAAATATAAAAATTAGCTGGGTGCAGTGGCGAGTGCCTGTAATCACAGTTACTCGGGAGGCTGAGGCAGGAGGATCACTTGAACCCAGGAGGAAGAGGTTGCAGTGAGCCAAAATCGTGTCACCGCACTCCAGCCTGGCGATACAGCAAGACTCCGTCTCAAAAAAAAAAAAAAAAGATTGGTAAGGAAGAAGTAAAACGATCTCTGTGATGGTGCTGGTGACATGATCCGAAAAACTGTTCAAACTAAAGTGAGTTCAGCAAGGATGCAGTACATAAAATCAATACATATAAATCCATTTTATTTCTATATAAAAGCAACAAATACAAAAAGAACAATGCCATTTACAATAGCATCAAGAGAAGTGTGAAATGTGTAGAGTACTCTGAGTGAACAAAGCAGTGTCAGAAGGAAGATCTAAGGGAATGAAAAGGCATCCCATGTTCATGGCTGGGAAGACAACATTAAGACAGCAATGCCCCCCACTGACTGACACATTCAACACCATCTCTATCAGAACCCTAGCTGGCTTCTTTGTAGAAACCCACGAGCCGATTCCAAAAAGCAAATGGAAGCTCAAGGTACCCAAAACAGCCCAAACAATCTTGAAACAATACTTTCCGATTTCAAAACTCACCACAAAGCCATGGCAAAAACAGTGTGGTACTGCCATAAGGACAGCACAAAGATCAAAGAACTAGAACTGAGAATCCAGAAATACACGCACACATTCACAGTCAACTGCATTTCAACAAAGGTATCAAAACACTTCCATGGGTAATGAACAGTCTTTAACAAATGGTACTGGGACAGTGGAATATCCACGTGCAAAAGAAAGAAGTTGGACCCCATCTCACACCATATGCAAAAATTACCTCAAAATGGATCAAAGGCCTTAAATATAAGAGCTAAAACCATACAACTTTTAGGAGAAAATATATGGATAAATATTTGCAACCTTTTGGTTGAATCTACAAATGGGGGGGGATTGTGACCCTGGATTTGTCAATGGTTTCTTAGATAAGACACCAAAATCACAAGTGACCAAAAACAAACAAACCAAAAAAAAACGGATAAACAACTTCACCAAAATTAAAAACTTTTGCGTTTCAAAGAACGCTATCAAGAAAGTGAAAGGACAACTCAGAGAATAGGAGAAAATACCTGAAAAATCATCTATCTGATAAGGAACTTGTTCTCAGAATATATAAAAAACTTTTACAACTCAACAAGGAAAAGATAATCCCATTGAAAAATGGGCAAAGGATCTGAACAGATATTTCTCCAAAGAGAACACACAAATGGCCAATAAGCACAGGGAAAGATGCTCAATGTAAATCAGGGAAAAGCAAGCAAAATCCACACTGTGATACCACTTCCTCATCAGAGAATAACTGTGCTCAAAAAGACAGATAATAACAAGTGTTGGCAAGAATGTGGACAAACTGGAACTCTCCTGTGCCCCTGCTGGTGGGAATGTGAAAATAATGCAGCCACTCTGCAAAACAGTCCAGCAACTCCTCCAAAAGTTAAACAGTATTTAACCATGTGGCCCAGGTCAGGGTCCTAATATCCATCAGCTGACAAAAACAAAACAAAGGTCTAGCAATCCAGCAGAGGAAGGACGTACTGACAGACTACCACGTGGACGTATCTCAAGAGACTCCTGCTCCTGAAAACAGCCAGACACGAAAGGCCACGCATTGTATGAGTCATTTTATACCAAATGTCTAGAGCAGGCAAATCCGTGGAGACAGAAAATGGATTCCTGGTGGAAAGGGGCTGGGGGTCGATGTGGGGTTTGGGGAGTGACCACTAAGGGGTGTGGGGTTCCTTTTGGGGTGATGAAAATGTTCTAAAATTGACAGTGATGGTGGCTGCACTACTTGGTGAATACACAAACAATCACGGAACTGGACACATTAAAATGGTGAACTGTATGGTAAACGAATTATACCTCAGTAAAGCTGTTGCCAAAATGAGTAGATTAAAATATTTAATGAAGTTTAAAAACTTGTGTAGTAAGATTTCAACGTTTCTTCACGGGTCCTCAGAGGTGGTATAATCATTCCCTTCATACGAAAAACAAGGAACCAAGCTCAAAGAGAGTCAGTTACCCAAGCTCACACAGCAAGTTACGTGGTGCAGTTACAAAGTGGAGCTCAGGCCAGCGGCCTGCAAACCCTTTCCCGCCCGTCACACTGGGGAGCACAAAGGGGAGCACAACTGACCCTTGAACAATGCGGGGGTTACGGGTGCCAACCCTCCACACGGGTGAAAACCCCTGCATAACTTCTGACCCCCCAAAACTTTATTAATAGCCTCCTGTTGGTCGGGAGCATTACTGATAACACCAACAGTTGATAAACATGTTATTTCGCATGTTGTATTCTCACAAAAAAGGAAACTACCGAAAAAGTTATGAACAAAATTGTCAGGAAGAGAAAGTATACTCCCTATTCAGCAAGTGGGAGTGGACCATCCCGAACGTCTTCGTCCTCCTCATCTCCACGCTGAGCAGGCTGAGGAGGAAGACGAGGGGTTGGTCCTGCTGTCTCGGGTGGCACAGGTGGAAGGAAATCCACGTATCAGTGACCCGTGCAGTTCAAGCCCATGAGGTTCAAGGGTCAACTGTCCAGCAAAGCCACGGAAGGGAGCTGGGGCAGTCACTGGGCCTGGAGTGACTCCGGCAACAAGGCCGGCAAGGACCGAGGAGAAGTGGAGAGTGACACCGCCCGTCCAACTTCAGAAAGCTGAGCTCTGTGGTGGCAGAGGGCACACAGAAAGCGGAGGGAAGGAAGAGCCAGCAGGGCCCCCAGTGGGAAGGCGCCATGGGGACTGGAAGCAAGTGGCACAGAGCGCATGGCAGCTGCAGGGGCAACTCACGCCTCCTGCCTGGGGTTGGTCTGGGTCCCACCGAGATGGCCTCACCTCTCTCAGGACACAGCAGGTGGCCACCAGCCCACAACCACTCCGCACAGCCACACACGGTGTGACGCCACAGTGAAAGCATCCTAAGTGACCTCTGCAATCACCCTCAGTCCTCTCTAGCACCCTCTGGGTCGGGGTCGAGGACAGGCTCTCTGGGCGACAGTTCCTGCCTCAGTCAGGGGCTGGCTTTCTACTCCTGCAACCAGGAGCCTAAGAAGGGGCGGGCAGGCGACCACATCAAACGAGGCCCCAGTCCGGACGGCGAGTTGACAACAGCCCCGCAGGCTCGAGATCCACACCGAGCCCCCGGAGACGCGGTCTGCAGGGTCTGAGGAGAATCCGGCCCTTATCTGACTTGCCATTTAACAGGAGAGCTAAGGCAGAGGAGGGCAAAGAGGGAAGCGGCTGGGAACGACAGAAAGGGCCACCAACAGGGAGGCTCTGAGCAGCCTGGGATCCCCAAGTTCATTTCCGGGTGACTCCGAGCTCCTGGAACTTACCACGGAATACGGACTTCATGGATCTTCTTCCTCCCGCTGCCCCTGCCTGGTGTCCAGGTGCAAGTCTACTCTCAAAGCGGGTTCCCAGGGACCCTATTTCACTCACTGAGAACACGCCGCATGCCTCCCTCTGAGTTCACTCCCAGGAAAGACAAAGTCCTCTGCTTTGTCAAAGTGGAAGCAGGAAAAAGATAGGGAGCAGGCCAAGGGTGTTCCAGGCAACAAAAAAAGCGAAGGAAGCGCAAACAGCATTCTAGAAACAAGGTCCAGAGGACAACAGGCCACAGACCCAGGCATCCACCAGGTTCTTCAGGGAGCAGAAGCAGCAGGCGGCTACTCAGCATAAAGACTGCACCAGAGGCCTGAGTGCAGAGCACAGACCAGCCCTTCTCCCAGGGCAGCCCCCAAAGGTGTAGAGTGCACCAGAAAACACAAGCGGCCACCCTTGTAAGCTTAACCCCACATGACAGGGTGGCAGGTTCCATTCGCCAAGATGGCTGCACCTACCCCTCCCATGCCACAAACTCTCCCCAGTGTGACTGGAACCTCCTCCTCCTAAGACCATGCTTGACCCTCCTCCCCATCCACACCAACTCAAGTGCCAGGCCCTTGCTGGACCGCCCAGCACCCCACTCCTCCGTCTGACCAACATTCCCTGGGCGCCCACTCTGGGCTCAGCAAGGCAGTGGCGAGGTGGTTAACCCGAGAAACAAGTTCCACCTGCCTCCACCCACATGGCGTTGCTAGTTGGGGACACAGGTAACAAACGAGTGGACATGTATGGCACCGAGAGGAGAAAACAGGGCGCAGGGGCTCTGCAACTGCGGGTCAGGGAAGGCCTGGGGGGCCTGAGTAGAGGTTGAACCATTCGTTGGCAGCGCCCAAAGGGGTAGAGTGCACCAGCAAACAGGAGCCCAGGGCCCTAGACTCGGGGGATCAGTGGGGACCACCCCGCAGGGCTGCGGGACTCAGCAAGGAAGACCATTTTATCCCAGCGAGCATGAAAAGCCATGGATGCTAAAGTTTTAGGCAAGAGCAAAAGACGGTGCTCTTAGGTTTTTTAAAGATTAATCTAGTAGAGTATGAAGCATTCCCGTCTGCCACTCTGGTGCTTATGATTATTCTGGGATACGGATACATAATAAAGTAACTAGTACTGATTATGTGCTATTAAGTTACAAATTGCCATTTTTATGGGTTAAAAACAGTGGAATATTGTCAACTTCACAAGGTTCAACTTGTACGTACAAGCCATTGTGGCAGGACCTCATCAGACCTCCTGGCTCTGAAGATCGACCATTAACTTCCCATTTCAGAGATGAGGAAAAGGAAGTTCTGCGTCACTGGGCAACCTGCCCAAGACCACACAGAACAAGTCCGGCGGTCAGAGAGGCTGCCACGGCTCCTCACGCTCAGCACCCTCACACTTGTTGGTCTGAACCCATCCACGTCTCTCTCTGACCAGACTCTGCATCCCTGGAGCACAGGCCCTGTCGGCTCCATTCACTGCGAGATCCTCAGGCTGAGGACAGAGTAGGACCGCCTTAGAAAATCAAATCAAATTCACTCGACAGGGTACCACCCCAAACTGTAAAACAGGGTTACCAGGAGCAGCCAGACCACAAGAAGCTCAGCCCAGGGCAGGACGGAACAGCCACATGGCAGGTCTGGGGGAGGCTGGCTTGGGAGTCTGACTTGTGCCATCCCAGACACGGAGCTACCTGCGAGGCCATGTGTGTTGCCCAAATGCCACCCTACTCCCAGCAAAGATGCCAGGAGCACAACTCATTGGACCACCACGTCGCTGCAGGGCCACTGGGAGATGCGGCTTCCGCCTCCGAGCCTGGAGGCCAGCCACCATCCGCATGGGGGGGACTCAGTCTCTCTAAACGTCTCCTCCAAAAGAACTCACTCTTGATGAAGGAACTGCCTGGTGAGACCTGGCCTAGCATCGAGACACCTACACCGTCTCTGGCACAAACACAGGGCCTGTTACTGCCCCTGAGGCCGTCACCAGGGGGAGAGAACGGCCAGGCCTGCCTTCCACAACACCCACTCGTATGGTGCCAACACATAAACACGCAACGTGGCACCAGGGCCAGGCCGCAGTTCCAATCCTGGCTTCCCATGAGGCGGCTGTGCCGGGCTGGGTGGGCACCTTTTCCTATGGGCCCCTGCGGCCCAGAGAGGATCCGCTCTTGAGTCTGCCTGCCTGTCTTAACTTCTGCACACAGAAGTCACGCACTGAGTCCCATCGACTGAGCACCTCGCAGCCGCCGCGCCTTCGCCTATGTTATCTCTTTCCATCTTCACCGGGACCCTCTAAGGTGAAAGTTAGGTCCACACAGGCTCATCCACCACTCCAACGTCAAAAAAAGCTCCAAAAGCCAAGTTTCTTCCTTCCTGGTTTGGCCTGACACGAAGCTATCTGTTGTCCAGACAGTCCTGGGTGGGTGTGATCAAACATCACAGTCCAAAATCCCACAGATCCTCAAATCGCAAAAATTCTGGATTCCAAAACACAGCTGGCCCCCCGCTTGTTTCCAGGACGAGGGAGGAGGCTCCAGAAGTAACTTCGTGCCCGGCAGAGGCTGGTCCAACTCTGCTGGGATCAGCCCCGACGCTCTCTAGGCCCCGGCGGACCCACCCACCCTGCGCCCAGTTTGCGCCAGGCGGGTCCGCGTCGGGGGTTCAAATCCCGCCCGGGGTCTGACCCAGCCCCGCCGGGGGGCTCGCGGGCGGCGGAGGCGCGGTGGGTCCACCGGAATCCCGACGGGGAGCGCGGGGCGCCTGGCGGCCCCAGCACTTAGCAAAGTTGGCAAACGCGCGGGAGGGGAGGCCTGCGCGCCGCGGGTCCGGGGCCAGGGCCGGGAACGGGAGTCGGACCCTGGAGCCGGGCCGCGCGCCCACCGGACCCCAGACCCCGGCCCCGCCCCGCGTCCCTCCCCTCCCCCACTCCGGCCCCCGCCCGCCCCGCACCGCCGCGCATGCGCACTGCAGCCCGCGATGTGGCAGCCGGGGGAGTGGGGGGGGGCCGGGCCGGGGGCGGCCGCCGACGGAGCCCCGCGCCCCTCCGGCCCCGGAAAGGCCAGGCGCCCCGGCCGGCCTCACAGCTCCAGAGCGGGGCTCTCTGTCCCCGGGGCCCACTGCGAGGCCGAGCCACGGCGGCGGGGGGCGCGGACGCGCGGGGGCGGGGGGCCGGCTCCCCCGGCCCGCTCACTCACCTCCGCCATGGCCGTGTGTGCGCGGGAGGCGGCGGCCGCGCCGGGATCCCCGGATGCGGGGCCGCGCACTCATTGGCTGTGGAGCCTGGAGGGCGGGGTCGGGGCGGAGCCTAGAGGGGGCGGAGAGCGGGCCGGGCGCGTAGTAGGTGCGCGGGCGCGGGCGCGCAGCCGAGCGTAGCCGGCGGCTTGTGGCGAGCTTGCGATGTCTTCCAGGCCGTCTCTGCTGGACCCTGGCCTTGGCCTTGGCGGAGGAGGATGCATTCCATAAAAATACGAATTCCTGATAATCACACCTGCGTGGGGACCACGTGGTCCCGTGTGACCTCTCCAATCCCTTGGGTGCTCACTGTTAATACCCCGCGTTGCAGACTAGGAAACTGAGGCCCAGGGCGACTAGCCACCCAGAGTGTCAGTGATAGAGCCAGAATTGGTGTCCGGCCGGCGTGGTTCTGGAACTTTCTGCACTTTTGCACCCGTGATGAGCAAACTAGCGCGCGGAGGAACCAATTGGGGAGCTTGGGAACATGCAGCCGCCGGAGAGCCCAAGGCGGGAGGCAGGGAGGTGGGCTTGACCCCAGGGCCATTTGGCTCTGCAGCCCGTCGTTGTTTCGCAGACTGAGCATTTCTGGAACACGTGCACGTTCTGATCCTGTGCTAGGCTGGGGGGTGGGGGGGATTGATGGAGACAGCCCTAACGCCTGTCTTCAGGGCGTTTAGAGGGGAGGATGGGAAGGCAAGGACTCGCCACACTTTAAATTTGAGACACGTAACTGCCGTGAATCTTCGGGGCGCACGATGTAGAGAGAGGATAGGAAGCAGGGCGGGAAGAGGCAGGGGCCAGGTGGGAGATGTGGGGCCTGGACCAGAGAGACCTGGGAAAGTGGACCCCACAAGACTCGCTGATGGAGCGAAGCTGGACAGAGTGAAGGATGGCCTCCGGATGTGTGGCTTGCACAAATGAGTGGAGGGCGGTTCCTACTGAGACCAGGAAGAAGGGATCTGGGGACCAGGAAGAAGGGAATTGGGGACCAGGAAGAAAGGAATGAGTCTCATTCATGTTTCCCAGTGATCGGCCAGTGAATGATGAGAAGTTGACGTGCACCACCCTTGATGCCTGATACACAAGCATTACTCAGTCCTCTCAGAATTCACCAACCAAGAGACAGAAGAACCACTCTGGAGGGTTCTACCCTCACTCCTTTTTTTGATTTACATCATTCAGATTGAGGGTTCTGGCCCTCGTGTTCAAGAGTCCTCACCGATTTGTGCAACAGTTGGTTCCTTTATTTTTCATTTATTATTATTAATTCAGTCATTCTGTGAACTAAACACGTATCTTATGCAGTCCTCAACTGGGTGCTGCGTAGCCAGAGGTCCTGTGAAGCAGGGAAAGGCATGAACAGACACGATTGAGGTGCTGTGCTGAGGGGCCGAAGACGAGGGCTTGCGTCCGCCTGGCACAACCAGAGAAGACTCCCAGGAGAGGGCTTGGCAAGAACCATCACATAGATGTCAAATGAGGACTTGGGTGAAGAGAAGGGTATTGTGGTCTGGTATGGTGACTCATACCCGTAGTCCTAACACTTGGGGAGGCAGAGGTTCCCACCTCTGGATCAAGGATCACTTGAGTTTGAGACCAGCCTGGGCAATATGGTGAAACCCTGTCTCTACTAAAAATACAAAAATTATCCGTGCGTGGTGCGAGTGCCCATAATCCTAGCTACTCTGTGGAGGCTAAGGCAGGAAAATCACTTGAACCCGGGAGGCAGAGGTTGCAGTGAGCTAAGATCATTGCACTCCAGCCTGGGAAACAGAGTGAGACACTTTTTTAATTTTTATTTTTATTTTATTTTTTTTGAGCATCCCAGCCTGGGCAACAGAGTGAGCCCTGTCTCAAAAAAAAAAAAAATAGTGAAGGATATTTTAAGTTCTGAAAGTCTGTGTCCGTAGACTGTTAGTCGCAGTGGAGAAATGAGGCCACTTGTTGGGCGGGTGATAAAACTCAGCATCCAGCATCCCTGGTGAAGGGCAGATGCACACCATGTGCACCTGGGTGTGGTGTCCAGAGCAGGACATGGCATCACTGAATCCGGCCAGGTATACACAACCCGTATCTACATACGAAGAAATTTCAGACAAACCCAAATAAGGAACACTCTGTTAAACGAGAGGGACTGTATTCTTCAAAAATGTTAATGCCACAGCCGGGCATGGTGGCGGGTGCCTATAATCCTAGCTACTCAGGAGGCTGAGGCAGGAGAATCGCTTGAACCCAGGAGGTTGCAGTGAGCTGAGATCACACCACTACACTCCAGCCTGGGTGACAAGAGCAAAACTCCATCTCAAACAAAACAGGTCGGGTGCGGTGGCCTGTAATCCCAGCACTTTGGGAGGCTGAAGCAGGCAGATCACGAGGTCAGGAGTTCAAGACCAGTCTGACTAGCATGGTGAAACCTCATCTCTACTAAAATAATACAAAAATTAGCCTGGTGTGTTGGTGCACACCTGTAGTCCCAATTACTCAGGAGGCTCAGGCAAGAGAATCGCTTGAACCCGGGAGGCGGAGGTTACAGTGAGCTGAGATCATGCCACTACACTCCAGCCTGGGCGACAGAGCAAGACTCTGTCTCAAAAACAACAATGACAGGCCGGGCGCGGTGGCTCAAGCCTGTAATCCCAGCACTTTGGGAGGCGGAGACGGGTGGATCACGAGGTCAGGAGATCGAGACCATCCTGGCTAACACGGTGAAACCCCGTCTCTACTAAATATTACAAAAAAAAACTAGCCGGGCGAGGTGGCGGGTGCCTGTAGTCCCAGCTACTCGGGAGGCTGAGGCAGGAGAATGGCGTGAACCCGGGAGGCGGAGCTTGCAGTGAGCCGAGATCTGGCCACTGCACTCCAGCCTGGGCGACAGAGCAAGACTCCGTCTCAAAAAAAAAAAAAAAAAAAAAAAACATCCACAAAAACAACAAAAATGTTAATGCTAGAAAAAATAAACCTGTGAAAATCTTTTTTTTTTTTTTTTTTTGAGATGGCGTCTCACTCTGTCACCCAAGCTGGAGTGCAGTGGCACAATCTCGGCTCATTGCAAGCTCTGCCTTCCGGGTTCATGCCATTCTCCTGCCTCAGCCTCCCAAGTAGCTGGGATTATAGGTGTGCGCCACCACACCTGGCTAATTTTTGTATTTTTAGTAGAGATGGGGTTTCACCATGTTGGCCAGGATGGTCTCGATCTCCTGACCTCATGATCCACCCGCCTCAGCCTCCCAAAGTGCTGGGATTACAGGTGTGAGCCACCGTGCCCGGCCTGTGTAAATCTTTTAGTAATGTCAAGTAACTGATCCTAGATGGATCCAGCAGTGGAGGGGAAAATGCTACAAAGGACATTATCAAGTCAGCTGATGAAGCTGGAGTTCAGATGTAGATTAAAAGATTGCATCAATGTTGAGTTTACTGAAATCAGCAACTGTCCTGTGCTTTCCATAAGATGATCCTCTTATTTGAAAATTCACACTGAAGCCTATAGGGGAAAAGTGCCATGTTATATGCAACTTGCTCTAAAATGGTTCAGAAAACCACCCCGTCTCTACTAAAAAAAATACACAAAACTAGCTGGGCGAGGTGGCGGGCACCTGTAGTCCCAGCTACTCGGGAGGCTGAAGCAGAATGGCGTAAACCCAGGAAGCGGAGCTTGCAGTGAGCTGAGATGGCGCCACTGCACTCCAGCCTGGGCGACGGAGCGAGACTCCATCTCAAAAAAAAAAAAAAGTAAACCATTTCATTTTATTTCTACAAAATGCACAGAAAAATGATGAGGTGAACAAGGCAGCGGAGTGTGGGAATGGGTGTGGAGGGTTTTTGTTTTTGTTTCTGTTTCTGTTTTTTTGCGAGACAGACTCTCGCTCTGTCGCCCAGGCTGGAGTGCAGTGGTGCGAGCTCAGTTCACTGCCACCTCCGCCTCCCAAGTTCAAGTGATTATCCTGCCTCAGCCTCCTGAATAGCTGCGATTACAGATGCGCGCCACCACGCCCAGCTTACATGTGTATTTTTAGTGGAGACTGGGTTTTACCATGTTGGCCAGGCTGGTCTCAAACTCCTGACCTCAAGGGATCCGCCCGCCTCAGCCTCCCAAAGTGCTGGGATTACAGATGTGAGCCACCGTGCCCGGCCAGTACAGAGGGTTTCGACTATACTCATTCTTGCAATTATTCCATGAGCATAAAATGAAGTAAAACTCAGAAAATAAAGAGCAGTGAATCTTGAGCAGAGACCTTCAGAGGAGAGGCTGGAGAGGGTGCCCCTGGCCATGGCACAGTGGTCTGAGCGGACGCCTCATGTTGGAGGAGATACGCCTGCATGTGCCTCCACTCAAGCCTCCCTGTTTCTTCTCTGCCTGGTTTTCGTGGTCAGCGGGCAGCTGCCGCCACGTTTGACAGAGGCGTGGTGTCCCGGGATGAGGGTCCAGGTCACCACATCGCTAGGCCTCCTGGAGCGGACGGAGAATGTGTGGTGGAGCTGAGGGTGATGAATCCATTGCAGCCCCGAGGCAGCAGGGGGCGCTGTAGTTCACCCAAGCAATGTTTTCCTTTCAAATTTTCCCCAGAAAAACAGGCCTCACAGGATCCTGGAGGAGTGGTGAGTAATGTAGTGGATGCTGGGGTGCACCATGAAACCCTCCCCTACACAAGCACTCATCTCCCCCTCTGCTCAGGGTCAAGTGTCC